GAAAAGCTTTTGTAACTGTTAATTTTACCTTCTTGATTTACTACAGATGATAACATCTAAATATTCAAGTGTATCTTAGGAGTGGTGGAATAATTCATAACTGTAAATCAGCTGAGAGTATTTCTGAGCCTCCTGAATAGAATTCCTGCTCAATGTTGGCTTGGCTTCATAAACTAGGGTTGTTTTGGGAAGGAAAAAATATTCATGAATCACCAAGAACTGAAATAAAAAAAAATCAGAAAAACCATAAGTGGACAGTCTCCTTGTGGAGGCTTGACGTGAGGGTTGTGAACAGGGACTGTGCAGGGTCTGTGCTCCCAAAGCCATCTGTCCCTGTTCAGCTGAGCTCGTCACTGGTGGGTGGTATGAAGCGCTCTGCTCCCAGGGCAGGACCGTGCAGTGGCCAGGCAGGAGCCGCTCCACCGCCCCCAGAGCCTACTCCAGCCGCCAGCTGTCAGAGCAGCCTGGGGAGGAAGGACGGGCTGGTTCCACATTCACTCAGTCGTTACCACTGTCCACACAGGCTGGTTTGAAACTGGTCACCCATGAGGAAGAGTTTTCTAATTCATGACTAATCCTTGAAGCCACACAGTGTAGGTCTTTCTCACATCTGTAGAATTTAATTGTAGCCTTAGATAATGTTTAGCAGGTGCTTTTGTTTGTGTCTTTCAGCCAAAAATGAACAATATCATATTCCACTGACTTTTGACTTTCTCAGTCCTTAATCGATTTGTTTGATATTACTCCAGTGCTTTTTTTAGCGTTAAGGATGAAATGAAATTGTGACATTTTGTTCTATGTTGCTTTCCCTTTTCTTAAGAATATTACAGTTTTTCGGAGTATTACCAAGGGGGGAGGTGTTGTCTCCTGTCTTGCACTAGCGCATGAAACACAGGGTTGTGCGGTAGTACCAGGGCTTATGTAAACAGCGTGAAGCAGTCCCTGAGGAGGGAATTGATGCCGCTTGCTTCAGAGGTGTCCGCACTGGAGGCTGTGTGGCAAGTTTTTGCTGTGAGAGCTGAAAGATGTAGCTATGCGTGAGCAGACATGGCCGTCCAGCACAGAGTGATGTGATCATACATGTCAACAGACCTGTCAAGTTCTGCACCAAAAAGTAACGGCATAGCTAAAAGTGAGCTGGATGGGCTGTATTGGTGTGGATGCAATCCCCTTGGCCGTCCTTTTTGTCTTACACATGCATGCAGCTTGCTCCTAGTTGGGAGGCCTGTCTTCCTCTTTAAAAACCTTTGTGACTGGGAAGCTTAGAAGATGGGTGTTCTCGTTTGCGAATGGCCACAATGAACATTCATCCTCCTCAGTTTATTTCTGAGTCGTGCTTGTATCTAAGCTGTGGGAATGAATTGAATGTGCCATCCAAGCTTATCTGTTCTCAGAGCTCATTTCCACCATATATTACCCTCATGGAAACTGTTTCCTGTTTTCTCCTTGTCTCTCTTTCCTCCTACTTCTACTTTTCTGGTGCTGGCCTCTTCAGTTTTTCTTCTTAACATCCTTGTTAATATTAGAACAGGATTTTTTTTTTTCCCTTTGTGACGTCTGTGCCAATCTTCTTGTGGTTTTCTGCTTTGGCAATTCTCCATCTTTTTTGTTTGTCTTGCCCATAGTGTCCTACATCCCTGGAATACACCTCTTGGTGCTTGTGTCTCTGCAGTTTCAATATTGCACCTATGTTCCTCAGGCAAGTCAAAACTATTTTGGGATGCAATGTGACTGAAAAACGCTGTACCGCTGAGTGGCCAAAACCTGTTTTACGAGCTGGTGACTCCTCTGACAGGGCTGCATCCTGTAGCTGGCAGGGGGACTGTGAGCTGGATCCTGCATGTGGGGGCACATGAGCTGCTGGAGATCTGGGGATTCCCTGGGACGTAGCTGTGTGCCTAGCTCAATGCTGTTCAATGGTACCCACAGGCATCGACCTTACCCATCTCTGAGCTATGCCTGGAAGTCATCCTACACCCTGCTTTGGCTAGGGGTAGGAACTTTACTCCAAGTTCTATACAGTTAATGACTTTCTGTTTGTTGCTTGGTCCCTGGTTTATTTTTATTTTAAAATTTATTTTTAAACCCTGATGGATTTTAGTGCTTCATTATTACAGGATTTTGTTATTGAGAACTGTGTCATAAAAAGTAGTATTTTCAGTCTTGTTATTAGAAAGACATGCATCTTGAAGGACCTAGTGTTTAGTTAGTTCAGAAGTTAGAAGTTGAAGGTACTAATTGTTTGTAAGATGAGTTTAGACCTGGTTTATAAGTGTAAATAGGGAATTAAATACATTATCTGCAGAACCTGAGGTTGTCTCAGATACTTTACAGAAGACTTTCAGTTTGCACCTCTACCAGCTCTTCAACAACACAAGATCGAAACTATATTCATGTTTGTTGATCTTTCCATTGAGGGTTTGTCATGTCTGGGACACCATTTGTTGGCATCTGTTGGGGGCAGAGTCGAGAGGTCAGGAAAGGTGTGATGAGAGTGAAACCCAGAGAGCGAGAAACAGTGAAACCGACTGCACTTCAGCGTGAAGTTTTCACTGAGGAAATATAATTTGGAGGAGGAGGTGGCTATTGTGTGGTTGTAGTAAAAGCATACACTTGAGGAACAACTGCATTGATGGGATTTAATTTTATTGCTTATAAAATGAAGGATATCTCCTTTCTACCTTTCACATAGGACTAGAAAGCCGGGTTTCAGCTCAGTTACTCCTTTTACTTAAGTTGTAAATAATTGATAACAAAGCATATTTAAAGTGTTGTTGACCATTCCATTAAAATAACTTGTTGCATCCGCCAGCTCCAGTATGTTTGTGCATTGACTGACCTGTACTGAGAGAACTGCAGTGGGAAGTTGTGGTGAGGACTCTCCAATGTTCTGCTGATAATTAGCTGTTTGTGACCTGGCTTCTGCACCACTCAGTTGTGTGGCCCTGGACAAGTCATTTCACTTTTTCGAGCTTCAATTTGTTCATTTCTAAACCTGACAGTTAAGGTGAATTGTCACGCAAATTGACCCTGTGTTTCAGCACTTATTGGATATGTTGGCTTTGGGGACACAGCAACAGATTTGCTTCAGCACATGGTTTCCATTCTTTCCCCCAACCATATAAATCTTTGATTACCTAGTGGAAGCAGTGGCCCCAGCTTCCTTGAACTTGGATCTTTTTTCCTTCCCAAAGACTAGGATCAGGAAGATCATTTATTTTTCCAGTAGTTTGCTCTCAGTACAGACAGATGCATTTCATGTGAGGTAGTGAACTACTTCAACTGTGAAGAGTTTTTATAGTGTTGATGTATGCAGTTGCCACACTTACCCTTACATGAAAAAAAAATTCCTCTCTAGTTGGTTGTTCTTGATTTGGAAGTAATAAACAGGCTGGATCATTGTGAGCGACTCTGTAACTGAAATTGTACTAACTGGAGCAGGAAAGATGCAGTAATACCAAGAGCTGCCAGAGCTATGAGCCACCTGCTTTTTTATATGCGTCACATTTATCATGTGGAATCAGACCTGTAAATTGACTGAGCACTGGAACAGGTTGCCCAGAGGGGTTGTTGAGTCTCCATCCTAGGAGATGCTGAAAAGCCATCTGGACATAGTGCTAGGCAGCTGGTGTTCTGGGCAGCTGGCTGTAGGTGGTCCTGCTCGAGCAGGGGAGTTGGACCTCCAGAGGTCCCTTCTGACCTCAACCATTCTGTGATTCTGAATTTCAGAAAAATGTATCCAGAGTGATGAGCTTGTGTTTCCAGGGAGAAAATTCTAATGCTGATTTATCTGCCTTCCTCTCTCACTCCTACCAATATGCCCTTCAGTGAAAGCCCCAGTTCTGCCATCTGCTGTGGCTCAAGGACTTCTCAGATAGAACTTTGCAGGCCTTTATGATCTAAGGATTGTTGCAGAGGAGAGCTTTCATGGTTGCTAGCTGGAGAACCCTTTAGGCTAAGTGGTATTTTCCTGTTCCCACACTGATCTTGAAGTGAAGGAAAGCTGCCACAGCTTTAATGGAAAGTACTGCACAGTTAGGAGAAAATTGACTGCCCCCTATGTTGCTTTACTGTCTGCTGGTTTATAAATTGTAATGCTTTTCATTAAAAAAAGAAGAAAAAAAAAAATTGTCAGGTCTCTGTGGGTCCCAGATCATTAGCAGGATCAATTCCTTTTTCACTGCAGAGATCAGTGGCTACAGTCTTGCATAGCTGGTCCTTCTGGCTGCTGACATACCAAGCAAACAATGCAGAAGCAGAAGAGCTGGTGTGTGGCTGCCTGAATTGCTGTGCCTGGATTTCCATTGTGATAGGGAATTCTTTCCTCGCTTTGGAGCCTGTGAAATGAATTCAGTCCCTTGCAGGATTGGGTCAGAACAGTCTCATCAGCTGCAGTACTAGAAATATTAAATCCCTTAACTTAGGGCTTGCAGTGAAAAAGTTTCATTTTTTTTGGTTGCTTCAGGAAGTCGATGATAGGATATGAAACTTTCACCTCTGAAGGAGGGCCGGTAATAGCTTGAAATTGTTGACATCTGAAGATGTGTGCTCTGGTGCTGGTGTGAAAGAAGTTTGATGTGACTCAGTCCAGTCCCACAGCCCTAGCCCACCACCACTGCTGACATGATTTGCAACCCTACTGGAGGTGCCAGTAGATACATCTGAGAGCCAAATGTATCGAACAGACTGAGTTTACTTCTTAGTCATGGATGTGGTTGAGTCACAAGCTTGCGTGTTCCCAGTAAACACTGTAACTTTCCTGTGAATAAATAGAAGAACCCGATTTACAGAGGATTGTAAGACTGTACATCATAAGAAACCGTTCTTCTGCTGTGACTAGTCTTAAAGTGTGGCTATAAGCATACCATTTAACCCTCCACTGCTTTAGCCTCTTAGCCCCTGCGGAATGGGCTTCATGGGGTTGTTAAAATTTGATTATAAATTGCTCTGTAATGCTGCATAGCATGAGGCATTCTCAGTTCTTTGCTTTCCCTCTCTAGGGTGGATACATGCGGTTTATACTCCAGTAGATTCTCTGGTGTTTGGTGGAAATATCCTGCATAGCTTTAATGTTCCCATGCAGCTTCGCATCTATGAAATTGAGGACAGAACAAGGGTAAGGATACTTGATTCTCCTTTTCACTGAACAGGTCTTTGTGACTATGATCTCCGTAGTCTCTCCCTTATATACGAACAAGAACTGATGGGATCTCTGTGTCAGAGTCATTGAAACAAGAGGTAAACATGAAGTAATGAGACTTTCAAATGTTGGCTGTTTTTAGTGGGATTTACTCATCTGTTTTTGCCTGCTTCCCACAGATGTATCCCTTCTGTGTCTTTTGTCTGCCTGTTAAACTTTCATAAAACACCCTCCCTTTTGCACAAAAACATACTGCGCTTTACAGACTTTTGTACTAGTACTTCTGGTAACCCCCTGCTTATCTCTCTGTGCACGCCTGGAATGGATACCAAGCCTGGAGAGCTGATGGGACCAGGATGGTTCTGCTGTCTACAGCTGCATTGACAGAGCTGCACAGAAGTTGCATATGAAACAACGTCTTCTGTACTTTGCAGGATTTTCTTCTACAATGACTTGATACTATGCAAGAATTTCTTGGAACCAAGAGAGTCTGGGGTGGGACGTTCATTGGAACATTGTGGTGTTCATCTGGCTGTAGCTTCTACCTGATGGGAAGAGTAGTGCATCTTGGAGGAGGTTACTGTGTGGCCTCTTTGGTAGTGAGAATTCTGTCCTTGATTGATAAACAGGACACTTAGTCGTCTCAGACTTTGCAGTTTCATAAAGTAGCAGAATCTGAAGGAGGTGCCACTGTTTCAGGAGGCTGTTAAATAGGCTATGCAAGGCAATCGTGGCATTCTGATCCAAAAATGAACCAGTGGTATGTGCAGATTCAGACAAGGACTTTTGTGGCTGATTGTTTTGGAGGCATTTGCACTGTGCTGGTAAACCACTGGCCCAGGTGCCAGCTGTGGTGTTAATGGAGATTTGGGTGACAAAATGGCAGGAAGCTGCAATTCTTCTTTGCTAAAAAGTCTTAAAATGGTATGTCCTGGACGTCAGTACGGCTCACTGTTGTTCACCTCTACAAGAGGGTACAATTCTGGCTCCAAGTGGGCTTTTACCCCCAGTTGCTTTCATTGCAGTGAGAGTGCATAGGCTTGAAGCAGATGTGTCTTGTTTCGAAATACATCTCTGACTCAGGGAGAGGAAGGGTGTCCTCCCCACCGCCTCCCTTCCTTCACAGGGGGTACAAGGTCTGGTAATCTTCTCATTGCAAAACCGTGGTGGGAGCAGTAGGTTTCCTGGAGTGATTTTAATGAAAAGAAGGAATATTAAGCAGAAAAATGAATTCTTAGTGGAGGAGAGATGAAGACAAAAGCTGATATTCAGAGGAATTAGAGCAGAGGGAATGTAGCGGAGAGCAGAAGTAGAAGTAGAGACCAGAGTGGAATTCAGCCTGGCTTTGAATAGGTGTCCCAAGGCAAGAATGTCAAGTGTTTTAAGAAGGTGTAAAGGGACTTGGACAGGAAAAAGTTAGGATGGCAGAAGCAGGAAGGGGCTCACTGTGGCTGGACAAAGGTGCTAGGCACAGGAAGGTTTTCAGAGCGACTGTGAGTAAGAACCAGCACTATATGCCGGATACATGTGCTACAGGTGTTAAGGGGAGGGTGTGTTGTTATTGGGAAGGATGCTAGCGCAGACAACTTGCATGGAGAATGCAGAAGAGGAGACTGGGAGGAAGGATCAATGCCAGAAACAAGTTATTTCCCTTGAAGTCTCTGGGGAAGATGGGAAGGAAACGCTCTTTTTTTCCTGAAGTTGTACAAAAGCTGACATTTTGTTCCGACAGGACTTGAGCAGCCCAAGATCACACACCTTGGGTGGTAACTGCTCAGTAGTGCTTCATGTCAGACCCTTCTCCTTGGGAGGGTGGGTGCAGCTTTGATCTCCTAAGCTTTTATAGCAGGAGGCAGAATTCCCTGTAACAGTAAAAGATTTTGGTAACTTTTAAGAACTTACCAGCCAGTTGCACTGAAATGCCTTTTAAAATTCACTCGCACCCTGATCCTCTGGGGAGGTTCTGGGAGTTGGGTATCTGCCTCTTTGAAAATGTCTTGTCACAGTTTTTTGGAAAGGGATACCGCGACATTTGGAAGTCCCAAATCAGACCTTTACTTCTGTGAGTTTTGGTTTAGGTTTTCTTCAAAGTCTGTGTAGTTCTTTATTGTTTTCCCCCAAAAATACTTCAGTGCTTTAAAAAATAAACTAATGAGAGCCAACATCCCAGAATCTCCATTACTTCATAGCAACAATTTCAGCGCTTGTATGTTGCTGTGTGCTAGCAATGTGTTATGCACAGCCTGTACCTGTGTTCACACTTGTGCTCGTAGGCAGCCGTACAATAACAAAGCTGTGTGAACAGTCGAAGAATAGCAAGAATTTCTAGACAGAAACAAAACGTAAGCTGTGCAACTAAGGCATGCAGAAGTTTGATAAAAGGCAGGAAAATCAATACTGTTATTTACAAATAATAACACACACACGCACACCCCAACCTAAAAATATCATGCAGAAATCTTGAAAGGGGTGAATGTCTTCAGAACAGGATTCTAGCGTGCACTTCTTTATTTGCTTTGCCAATCAAATTCTGTAATTTCTTTGTTCAAATAATTCTATTCATGCACTGGCTAGTATAGCAGACTCCGTACAGTATGTAGTTCACACAGATTTGCCAGTGTGAACATACTGCAAATGAGTTTCTCATCAGTATTGATCTTTCCATTGTGTATAGCTCAGAAGTAAATTACATGATGTGATTGACAAAGTAATTTGCCACGCTCAAATCAAAATGTAATACAGGTGTGTTTCCCCTCTTCGTTTTGCACAGAGCAATTTTATGGAGGTTTCACTGTGTTTAAACCTGCTATATAATGCTTAATCATGTTTGCTGATATTCAAAGTCATTTTTATGCTAGGTGTAGTTGTTATTGTCTTAGCAGCTAAGACAAGAATAACTACACGGTTGAAACGGTAATGCTGATTTACAGCCTGATAAAATTGCCTAGTTTATATACTTGTCATGCTTATTCTAGCTTAATTTCTCATATCCCTGGGAGACTTTTTAAGAGGTTTATAGCCATTTAAAAATAGTTTTAAGGAGTAATAAAAACCATGTCTATTGTTGGAAACCGCTCCTAATGTGCAATTGAGGTAAACAAATATTCTCCAGCCTTACAGTTTGTAGAGACTCGCATTTTGCAGTCTGGCTTTCCTAGAGGCCAATTAACAGCTAGTCAAATAGGCCAAGCTGTCTGCTAGACCGGCTTGAATAACTGCAAAGCAGGCTGCCGTGCAGAGATTCATCATCTTGGCATAGGGGTGTTACAGCTCAGTATTACTGAAGAGGAAGAATGTGTCAAACTTACTCCCAACTCATCTAAATTTAACGGCGTTAAAATACTTGAATGTGGATAGGGCCAAAAGCACTCAAAATATATACGTAAGGTGGTCACTCACAGATGATGGTGTTTGCTACTGATTCTGTTTTCTGGACTGTTACGATAACTTTGTAAATGGGTAGATTAATTATTTTGTAAATAGTCATAAATATTGTGATTAGACTGATTAAACACACGTGGAGTTTGTGATTATTTTAATGGACGTTGTGGAAGAGACTAGTACTGTCAAGGAAAATGTGTGCCTCACTTGGGGGTTTTTGTTTTGTTTTTGGAGGGGGATATAAGTCTCTAAAATAATTTCACTTTGAACTGAAGAAACGGATCATATTCCAGAGAGGATTTTTCTTGCTGTACAGGAATAATTAAAAAATTTATTCAGTGGCTTGTAAATTATTAATCACAGAAGTTAGAGCTGGAAATGCCTATTAGATGATCTAGTGTATTTCCCTGCTGGTGGGGGATTTAGTCCTCTGGCAGTGTCTGTATCAGATATTACACTTTAAATTCGTCACAGAACATTTTTAATTTCTTTCTTTCTTTCATTCCTCTCCCCTTCCCTGTAAGAGCTCATTTGACCATAAGTGTACAATGGAAAAAGTATGGACATGTACATAATGCAGTTCACATCCATTACAATTAATGAATGTCCGAGGCTATCATAAAGTACTCCTCAATACTTTTGCATAAGGCAAATTTTAAAAGATTTTTAAAGCACTGTTAGACTTGCTTTACTGGCAAAAGGCACTGTAGATCTTTGCACAGTATCTCTTGCTGCATATGGTAGCTCTTACTTCTGAGAGTTTGTGAAAGCAGAGCCTTCTCGGGCAAATAGTGAATTACGGAGGCATGGAGGGATTTGCTGTGGGTTGGAACATTGATAGTGAGGCAATTAGGAACTCAAATTGAATATTAAAGATTGATACACATAATGGGAGCACTGCATGCATTACTTCCTTGTCTTTCACATTGAATTAACATTGGTAACAACTAAATTTGGTGAAGCTCAGAATCTGTCAACAAATGTTGAGCAATGATGTCTTTAATATTCCCAGGCATGTGGCTGAAAACCTTTTGAAGGCTGAGGGGTGGAAGGCGGCTTCCTGTTTGTAAGTCAATTCTTTGCAAATTTTGTTTCCTGCAGTGCTCTCTTGGAAAAATTTGAGTTCCTTTATTAGCATATATTTTAGCATGGCTGATTTCCCCTGTGTTCTGTAATAGTGATAAGTGACTCGATCTCTTCTTTATGACAAATAACTAAGCCAAAGGAAAAATATTCTCAAGTGCAAAAAGGCCCTGGGGTTAAATGTTCTCACATTTAGGGGGATTTGATTGGTTGGTTGGTTTTTGCCTTTTTTTTTTTTTTTTCTTTTTTTTCCCCTCCTCTTCTTTTTTTGGTATGTGTGCTTTGTAACAAACAACACAGGGGAAACGTTTGAAAAGGTGCAGCATCGCTGGATGCATGACCTGTAGCAACATGCAGTTCAGATTTGCCAGCTACATTTGGGCTGAATTTAAGAGATCTTAACTTTTGGGAATTGCCATAGCGTATTTAAATCCTACACTGTGATACATTTAGTGGGACAATACAGTATATTTTCCCTTCGTTACGCTTTTTTTTTACTGCTAAAGTCTCTGCGTTCCTCGTGCCCTGGGAACAGTGGCAAGTTCTTTGACTGTCCACCTTGGGGACAGTTTTCAAATACAGGCGTTCTAGTAAGTCACTGATATGCTCAAGTGGATGCTTTTGTCACCACGCAGAGGTTTCGACAGCACCTGCTTTGCAGAGCTGAATCAGAGTTCCCAGGTGCTGGGTTAGTGGTTCTGGTTAGACTCTGGGTTTTTGGGTGATCTGGGGTCAGGTGGAGTTTTGTTTGTTTGTTTGTTTGTTTTTAAATAGGCTTTCTAAGATAATGCTGCCTTCTGGCGCAGCCCAACTTTTCTTTAAAGGTGGGTGGACACCTCTTGGCTAGGTGAGCAGTTAATATGCATAGAATGCCTTAAAGCAGCTCCTATAATCCCAGTGTAATGCATGTGTGCAAGCCTGCAAAATGCAAATTTCGGTGCCACCAGGAGAAAAAAGTGTACAGTGTAAGTACAAGTGCATGAAAGATGCATGGCATCCATTTTTAACAAATCACAATAGATATACATTTAATGTTCTTGCATTTTAGGAGCTTCCCAGATTCTTCTTTGGTACAGATAGAAAACTGTGTTGGAAAGGAAGGAAACCCACTTTGTTTTCTTTTGAATGTGAAATAATCTCGCAAATACATAGTGTTGGACAATAAGCTTTTTGTGTGAGAACAACAGGTCTGAGATGTAAGAAAAAGTGCACAGCTTGACAGGATCTTTTCTCAAAATCCTGCTTTTCTATTCTGTTTGTGGCAAAAGCTAACTTGCTGCCAAAATATTAAGTGTAAACCACATAAGGGATTTTTACTTCTAATGTGTAATTATCAATAATCAAGAAATTTGTGTGTTCATTTGTTTAATCAAAATGATGTGAAGACCATAATTGAAAAAGATGTATTTCCTGCTTGACTCGTTTTAGATAATGTTACCATTTTGATAAAAAACCATGTGATAGTGTTTAGGAAATTTTAAAAAAACACCTTTATTTTAACTTGAGTTTTAGTGACTAGCATCTGTATGTGACCACCCTATGTTTATACAGTAGGCAAATAATACCGTAGGGGCCATCCATCAGTTTCATGATTTCACAAGAACACAAACCCTTTCCTCTCCCACCACCCCAAGAGGATACAAATTAGTGAACCAAGAAATGATGCTATCATGGCAGGCAGGCAGGCAGTCTTCTCATTTCGTATGCTGAAGGCGTACATCTCACTCGGCTCCCACCCTCTCTCCCCTCCCCCTCCTGCATACTGTTTGTGCTCTTGATAACATGATGAGAATGATGACTGGCCCTGGTGCTGCAAACTTCTCTCCCTTCCCCATGGACTGACAGTCTTGATCTTGCTTTCAGGTGCATGCCAAATTCCGTTATCCTTTCTACTATGAAATGTGCTGGTATGTTCTGGAGAGATACGTGTCCTGTGTGACCCAGCGCTGCCACCTCAGCAAAGAGTACCAGAAAGAATCAATGTTAATTGGTGAGTGAATCCTTTGAGTGCATATTCAGAACTGATGCTAGCACCTTAGGCTAGTTACTGCTTTGGCTTCTCAAAGCAGCTTATAAATTGAATTGGAGAACTGCAGAAATTCAAATGAGCTATTTATTTCTTTATTTTGGGGTGGGGAAGGTTTTACTCTTAAGCATTTCCATGAAGTACCAGCCTACTTTAAATTATATTTATTAAACATTCCCTTAGCAAGTGGATTCCAGAAAAATAATTTTTGGATGCATTTGTTCCTTGGTTTCAGTAATGTTTGTGTTGAGATGATCTGCCAAACAGTGGAGGATTTACTGCCATGTTTGGCACACTACCTTAGTAGCCAGAAATGTGTGCATTGCAAATGTGCTCTGGTGGGGTGGATATTTCATCCTTTTATAGAGCGTCTCCTCTACAGAATGCGTTATGGTCACTAAACCTGGCTTCTTTCTCTTCTCTTTCATCTCTACTTCAGTTCTCTCTGTTTGGTGACTGACTTCTAGTTCTGCAGAATAACAAAACCAAGAAAACACCTACACAAATCTACATGATCTATAACCTAAGTGCAGGGAGGTCAAAGAAACCTTTACAACAATAGCTGAAAATGGGCCATAGGAGAGACAGATAGATGTGCCTGAAGCAGGAAGGCATTACCTTGGCACTGATGTAAGCTTTACATCAACGTGTGACAATTCCAGTTGTTGCTTTGCTGAACTGCCCTCTTTTTCCTCCCTTTGATGGAACAAGACGGTGGGCCATGTTGCCTCTCTGCTTTTGAGCGCAGAGTGGCTGAAAGTAGCACAAGCACCAGTTAAATCTTAACTGGTACGTGTTAAGTGTGAAGGAGGGCTAAAGTACTCCTGTGCCTCCTGCTCCCTGGGGCGCCACTTGGATTGAACCTGGCATGGCTGGAACTGCCCCAAGCTGTGGACAGAGGAGGGAAGTGATCACCTACTAGCATAATTCTTACTAAAAGGGATTGACGGAGTTATGGGCAGATGTCACTCTCCGGTGAGTTTTACTGACCAAGAATAACTTGAGAGAGCGAATAGTCGGTGTAGATAAGCCAGGGAGATTTCCTGGGGTCTCTGGGAATTTGGGTGCTTCACATTTTGTGTCTCTCCTTAGCTCTGTGAGACCCTGGTCGGAAGGGTTAGTTAAGCAGGAACTCTGCGTGGAGGAATTTTTCTCGTTATATAAGATCATCCCAGAGGAAAGGATGAATTAGCCCCTTGGATCAGCACTTCATAAAGCAGTGACAAAACTCTGCATTCATTGGAAAATAAGGAACAACCTCCTGTTGTCTGAACCACTGGTGTGGAAAGAGGCTCATCCTGCAGGCAGGGTGGGGGTGCCAGATCGCTGAGGTGTAATTTCAGAACAAATTAGATGTGGAGAGTGGGTGGTTCAGGATATTGAGATGGGACCTTTTCCAGCTAAATCACCAGTGTGAGTTCCAGCCCAGCTCAGTAATTACTGATAATGGTTTGGTGATCCCCACAAAATGTGCCTCAGTCCAGTTACTAGCTGAGAAGTATTCAAATCATATAAAAGCTCACTGGGAACCATAGGTGTCCAGTGTCTAGAGGGAAAATTATTGTTTTGCATGATCAAGGGGTGCCAGCTGCAAAGGCATCAGGAAAAGGAGCCTGGCTATTTGGAAAACATTTTGGTGGTGACACGGTCAAGGTCTCGTCTCCTGTGGTAGCTTCCGTTGTTGGCCTAGTGGAAAGCGAATGTGAAACTGTTTTGCTGTTGCCTGGGCATGGTCTTATGGACATTTCAAGCTACTGTGAGTAACGTGCTGCTCTCACGTTCTGTTTCGTGAACTCTAGAGACTGTGCAGCTGCTCTGTGAGTGGAATCAGTTCAGTGATCTGAATGAAAGTGAACCCTACCGAAAAAAGAATTTATTTGTTATCGGTAGGATTGATCAGCTGCTCTGACTTGCAGCCCTACTGTGTGGCTGTGGGTGCCAAGTTGAGGTAGGTGCTGGGAGTGTCTGGCTGGGCAGATCTTGAGCTGTTGTTGCTGTCTTGAATGGATTGGTACTTTTCAGCTTACCAAAGTGGCATCTACTGACAGCATGTAGTTCATCCACCTGCCTGCTATCTCTTGGCTTCAGAGTATTAGCATGCTGATAAAATCTCTGACATTGACATCCAGGGCCTTTCTCTTCAGGAGAGACAGATGTATACTTCTTTTTGTCAGAAACTTGCTTTTTATTTCTTGGCAGAACCTTAACCTTAAAATAGTTATTTAACTGGGGATTGTGGTTCAAAAGCCCAGATCTACTGTATCTGCTGGATCTTTCACTTTGGCATTTGTCAAATACAAAGGAGTAAAGGTACCTTATTTACCTTTACAAAGCTGTGGCGCTTTGTTCTGTGTGAGTAATACTGTTTCAAATACTTGCTTGTCTTTTCTCTTAGCTGGTCTCAGTGTCCAGCATCTTGACTCAGATGTCTGTGAACTGTAATCCTTGAATTACACTTGTTTGTTCTGTGGTGTGTGTATCTTAGTATCATTCACCTACTGTGGGATAGGAGATCCAAAGGAGGGCAGTGTTCCAAAACCCCACTGCTTTGTTTTTAAGCATTTCTTCAGAACTGCTAAGGTCCTTAAATTGTCTCTTCCTTAGAGACTTCCGTATCTGCAAGCAATTTCTTAATTTCCCATGAGAGATTATCCCTTGATGAAGAATTTCCCATTATTCTTCTTAAAAAAGTAATGAAACAAAGTACTTAACTTCTCTGCAGACTCCTCAATAAATTTGTCTCATGTCTGTCTTGGTTTAAGAAAAATTCTTCACATCCTTGTATTCTTTTTCAGAAATTTCTCTTGAATAACCTTAATGTTTGTCCTATTTTTTTTTTTAATAATTTCCTTGACATAATTTGTTCTAAATGTCTGCTTTCTACCTTTGCTTTTGGATACTAGAACTTGCTATGTTTCACCCTTGAGTTGTGCTGCTTTCTTTGCTTGTATACCTTCTGATACAGTGGTCTTACTGGATCTCAGAAGCTAGAAAGCAACAGTTGATTGTTAGTTGAGAGAGCACAGGATGCTGCCCCTGGTCTCTGGGATTCACAAGGCAGTGGTTTTTATAGAATTGGTAGAGATTCTGTTCTCCTGCTTGAAAAAAAGGAGATTACTGTGGTGACAGAGATCATCTTTGGAGAATGTGGAAAACTGGTTTCATCAGCAATTGTGTTTTAAGGATATCTTTAGGCTTTTCATACTTTGTTTCCATGACATAGTATTTACTTGCTTTGACGTGAAGGTTGCTAAATTCAGGGTGATTCTTTCAAGACATTGCCTACATGAAAATGTGTTGCTGTGGTTGTGTTGTGATACCTCTGTCCTCACAGTTGTATGCTAGTGTAGAAATTTATGTTGTTCTTTGTTTTCTAAATGTCTTGACTCACAAAACTTCATAAGGAAAAAAAAACACCCACAGTGTAGGCAAGGCCAAAACCTTGAGTCTTCCCACTCCCTAAATAAAAATATCTGTGCTTCTAAAAGGAGTTGGAAGATGATGACCATGGCTTCCTTTCCCATTCTTAAGGCCCAGAATGAGTTTTCAGGTGTTCACCTCCTAGTTAGTGTGTGAGACTGATCTTTTTCAGATCTCTTCCCCAGAAGGGCAAACACTCAGGGGAATAATGACATGACAGCAATCACAGGCTGCTGTAAGAGCACACAATCTCTCTTTCTCTCCTTTTTTATTTTCCTTGTCCCTCTCAACTGTGACATTTGTCCTGCTAGCTGAAATCAGAAAGGGGTCCTGTTTGGGCTTCCTACTAGATTTGAACGTGCACTGTTTCAGGATGGTTATGTCTTCATTATTTTTACTCTTGTCATGACTGAGTCTGCACTGGATGTTTTCAACCACAATTGACCTTCAGTGAGATATGGATCTTGAGAGTGAACTGACAAAGAGTAATTGGGAGAAGATACTGGGCTATCAGAAATGCGCTTTCTCTGTAGCCTGCAGCTTTTAAGATTCCCATTCCTAAAATTTTAACAGAATGGCTCTAACTGTATATTAAGCCTGATGGATGAAGACAATATGCCCTCTGGCATGGTGAAGGAGCCATGTCTTTTTTTTTTTTTTTTCCCTCCCTCTTCTCAGAGGATAGAGGAGATTTGCTTATGATGGACAGGTACTGGACTATATTGAGTGATTTGTGTGTGAGGTGCTCCACACAGGGATAAATTTTCAGTATGCTCAGGTTTTTATTCTGCTAAAGACAATGTCATTGCTGTCTTTAGCAGGCCAACAGAAACTGCTGCTCCCAAGTCACATTGTCAGGGTTTGGAGCTGGGAATGGCAAGGTAGATATTACACACGGAACTGTTCTAAAGAAGAAAGATTTCATAATTGTACCTCACCCCCCTTCCTTTCTTTTAAGTTCTTCAATACAGAAAGTTGCTTTTCAGCAGGGAAATAAACTCTGTATAATTATTCTTCTTGTACAACTGGGTAACTGTGGGGAAAAGTTAAGAGATTTGCCCAGAACCACAGGGAAGTGAACTGCTATAGAAAAAAAGGTATTTCCAGCTCTCTGTCCTGTGGTCAACCCTGTGCTGTTCCTCCTTTTCGCCGAGTTGTATCACTGGCTGATTTGTATAAGCTGGTTTTCTTTGCTCTGAGGTGGAGAGGGGTGAAGGTGTTTTTGTACTAAGTCGTATGGGAGCCCAGACTGGATAATCACTCTACATTGACTCGGGAGAAGAAACCACAGTTGCTCTTAGCGAGAGCTCTTTTCCATGGAGAGGCTTTGTAAACCAAAAACCTCCAAGTCAGTGGATCCCTGGTAATACAGTGCTTAAAATGTACTTCTTGACAAAGTAAATGCAGATTATGCTTATGGTGGACCTCTGCTCACAGCATAGCAACTCTCAGTCAGATACTGTTTTCATTAAAATGAATAAATAAAAATCATGGCATGTTGTATTACAACAAAACACTTGAAACACAGGATTGAACGTTCCTCACCTTGAAGTTATCCTTCCATTATTGATTCCCTTGGCTTTTTTTTTTTTTTTTTTAAACTAGCAGCAGTAGCAGACAGTTGTTTTTTGAAAGCAGTCCACTCTTAATCTGATGGTGCGACAGTCCTGTAATCCCCTCGTGCTCCAGAACAGACTAATACACTTCAGGTTAATCGCAAGCCCTGTCCCCAAACGTAAAGTTAGGCAAGGCAGCATGTAACTGCCTGGCTTGCAGAGAACAGGACGAAGGGCCCTTGTCTGGTGATGGTTCATTTTGAAGTTAGATTTAGATTGGGTTTTGTCTGTCCGTGCCCAGGTGTCGCTGGCCCAGCAGGGCCTGGCTTGTGCAGACAGCCGGTGACAGGGAAGCGGTGGCAGCTGGCAGAACGGAATTGCTGGCCCCCCCGTGTGCTTGCTCCTGATGGGAATAGGCCCCCAGTATGCTTTGGTGTTCCACTCCTCGCTTGCCTTTTGTTTCCATAGATTAGAGCAAGAGACAAAAAGTGGAGATCTCTCTTGAAGGCTGTTTTCTCTTAGCACCAGAGCATTACTTGCAGTAAATTATTCACACCTCCATAACATGATCTTCCTCTGTTTCTTTAGGCCTTTATCTACACTTGAGATTTGCCCCAGTTACGGCCATTAGTTCCTGTTCAGCAGAGCCACAGCACACAAAGGCAGAAACATAGTTTTCTTTGTGCAGATTTATAGCAATTTCTGTTAGTGGTGCTGTACTGGTAGCGTAGGGATGTGTGTCTGCTTTCACCTTCTTCTGTTTTGTCACTGGCGTCTTCTCCCATCTAGGCTGGGCTTTTGTGCTTCAGTCAGTTGTAAAAGAGCTCACCAAGGCAGTGTGGCTTAGAGAAGGGGCTCCGGCCCTGGATCCAAGAGCCTGGATTCTGATTCCTGGTTTTGCCCTAGATTTGATGTGTGATAATGAGCAAATCGTGCTTTCTCCCAAGCATCTGTTTCCTCAGCTGTAAAATGGGAGAATGACATAAGCTGATTATATAGCCCTTTGAGGTGGGTAAGTGTGCTAGCTACTGTGGACAAAGGAAAAAACCGTGTGAAATAGGAGTTGGATAACCTAGTGTTTTTTAAATGGTCTGGTTAAGATATTTTCTAATCCTGTTTATTTTTCTAAGAGAAGCATGGGGGTGTATTAGCACAGACCAGAGAGGAGGAGCTGCTTTGGAGCACTGCATGCCACCACCTCAGCACACAAAATAAACTGTGCTGTACTTCTTCAGGGTGAAGGTTTTTTGCAGGGATGCGGGGAGGACGTTAGCCTGCACTGTGGATGGAGCTGGATTGGGCTGTGACCAGCCTTGCTGGTAGCTGGTATTTTTTGTGACTGCCGTCTTTCCACAGGCATTTCAGCTTAAATGCGCCTTTTGTGAGTAATTTTATGACCATTTTGGTTCTGAGGAAAAATGCAAACGTGACTGAAGGAGTAGACTGGACAGAGATGCTTGATTTTTGCAGACACTGTAGCAACAGCACTTGCCTTTAGAAGCAGAGTGGCCAACTCCTATCTCTCAGGCAGTAACACACAGAGGTGCACCTGCCTTTACAGAGTTTTTATTTGAAAGTGCAAAGCTAAACAGCTAGGCCAGCTGCCCTCAGACAGTTACTCTGCCACTGCCTGTTGCATCTTTGTTACCCATCTGACAAGTAGCATGTATATTTTGTGGGAAGATGGTATAGACTGTGCAAGAGACAAGGAGCTTCTCTGTGATAAGGGTGAATTTGACAGCTTGGAACTGGGCTTCAGCGTTTGTTTTGAACCTCACTGTTAAACAACCGGATGCTGAGCTTTTTTGTTAATGTCCATTTAATCCTCCCTTAAGCATAATTCACATTGTCCTAATCCAAAGATACTGCATTGCAAAGCATGAAAGCCGTGAAAGGAACTTTTCATTTATTGTTCACTTACTTTCTCTGGAAGACTTCTGTTTCCTTTGCAGAGTGTTTTTGTTTGCAGCTTGATCTTGTACCCATTTCAGCCAGTATTAAAATTCACATTGACTTAACTGGGTGTTGCCAGTGTTAACTGTATTTTCCACAGAAATCCCTGCTGTTGCTAGCCTGCATTGAGTGTTGTTCACTTAGTAAAGGAAATGATGTCTAATAAATAAGAAAAGATGTGTGCTTTAGAGAACCTTGGCCAATAGTTTCCTACATTGCTTTTACTGCTTGATCGCTTGGAGTTGGGTAACAGTTGGAATTTTTAGAGGGAAACCTAGTATAAAACTAAGATTAATAGTTCTTTAGACTCAGAAACTTGCCTTTAGATTTTCCTGAGAAGTACCTAGAATGCATCAGGGACAGCATTACGAAAAGCAGCATCATGTAAACTCTGTGATAGTCCTTGCACTTCCCAGTGTGTTCAGGCTTCTTGTCTGTAAAACAAATATAATTGTAATCCTCTGTCTCAGAAGAGCAATGAGTATTCATGCAGTAACAAGTGGGGGTTCTTGTTTTACCAACAGTTGCTTGCAAAGAGGTGGAGTATGGAGAAGTTGATTTTGTGCTGTGCAGAGTTCCTGGAAAATGATGATGTACAGTATTTTAACGTGCTTTCTCCTGTCATTTCCCCCCTCCTCCTTCTGTGCTAACTCTCCTCCTAAAGCCGTAAGGCTGCGGAATCTGGTCTCTTTCGGATTTGCGGGAAAATTAATTGTGTGTGACTTAAGAGCTCTGCCTCCTCTTAATTGAAGGCATAGAGGACTGAGGCTTTGAAGAAAACATAATTTTTCCCTAAATGTTTCCCAGTCATTTGAACTGAGTAGATGTTAATGAAAACCAGCATTAAAACAAACACACACACACACCCCCAATTAAAAATCAGCTGAATAGAGCCCACTGCTGTCACATACTTACTAGGCATTATCCAGTGCCCTTTTAAATAGGCAGTGCCTAGCCCCAGTGGTAGAGAAGTGTTTAAGCTCTGAATTACGTCGGGTAAAATTTTAGCATTCTTTTTCTAACTTGCAGATGCAAAAAGAAAACGCAGCACAGACAGCTATTCATCAGATTCGTGGTTAGACATGGATGAAGAATCTTGTGATGCCCATATCCAGGAGGAGAAGGATGACAGCTTGGATAAGAACTCCAAATCCTTGGTGGATGGCTCCTCCTCACCCAACAGCACACACTCAGAAGGGAAGGAGGGTGCAGGAAGAAAACAAAAAGCCACAGTAATGAGGTACCTAAAAAGAACTTTGTCTAATGAGTCAGATGACAGCGTAAAATCAACGACCCCCACGGACTATCCCAAAACACCAACGGGGTCTCCCGCTACGGAAGTTTCAACCAAATGGACTCACCTCACAGAATTTGAACTGAAGGGTTTAAAAGCCCTGGTGGAAAAGCTTGAATCTCTCCCAGAGAACAAGAAATGTGTTCCAGAAGGCATCGAAGATCCGCAGGCTCTCCTAGAGGACATGAAGGTGGGTGTGGTAGCTTGCTGATCCTCACAAACTGTATTCTGTGGGCATAGAAGACAGCAGGAGATCAGAAAGCAAGTTCTGCAGCAGAGGGTTGGCAGCTTGTGTGTAGTGACCAGCTCATATCAGCCTCCTCTGCCACAGAGAGGGAAGTTACGCCTCTTAACAAAAGCCATCTCTGCCCTGGGGAGATGGCTGTTTGCAGTCTGGTTTAATTGATGCAGTCCTTTCTGGCTGTTGCAGCAGTGGCCAGAAGTTTAGATCCCCTCATAGTTCAGCACTTGTTATGGCCCCCGTGTAAATATTATACCTCAAAAAGTCTGTTTATATTTATAGTCTTAACCTGACAATATTTTTGGTCTGGTGTCTTTCTGGAGTATATCTGATTAACTGACATATACACAGTGTAAATACTTGGTTGTCATTCGGACTATACATTGTCTAATGTTTCCAGTTGCTTTTTTTCCCTTTCACCTTTTTCATTTTCTTTTCCTCCATTGCCCTCTATAGGTTGATAATTATTCTCCACTGGTACAATATACTGTTTTTGGAGATGGTGCGAGGAGTGAATGCTCACTAGTGATAGAACTTCTCTTTAGATTTTTAGCGTACTGGAAGTGGTACCTCGCCTGACTTAGGGATAAATTCCTCCTGAAGACCAGCGTGGCCTTGCTGCTTCTAGTCCCGGCCTTGCCTCTGATACGTGGCATCCCTTGGGACTACTTGGTTAGCTTTTCTGTGTCTTGTTTTCACATCGTATAAAATAGGCATATTAATTATTTTTTTTTAACAAAGCTGAGAGCAGCATACTCTTGTAATTTTGCTGGGACTTGTCCAGTAGGGCTGAAATTGTCAGTCTGTCCTCCATAGGTCAACTGCCATAGCAGTTTGGCCTGGTTTGGAGCGATGAGCATTGATTCTTGTGTTTGGACTGCTAGTTTTGTGCTGTTTCTGTGCACAGTGTGGTTCTTCAGCTACATATGTTCTATACACAAGAGCTGTGTAAGCCACAATCTGAGGGGAAAAATACATGTTTATATGGTATATGGGGAGCCTGTACTTTTTTAGTGCAAGTAGTGTAACAGCTGCTTAGAAAAGGCTTCAAAGCCAGTTAAAAAAGACTGAACATATGCAGTGTGCAGTGGAATGATATTCCACAATCTTGGAGCCTGGAAGTGTGATACACAGCACTCATTTTGGTAAACCACAAGAGCTCAGAAAGTCTCTTCTTGCAAAATCAGCTGCTTTGTATATGAAAGTGGACGCACATGCCCAAAGTCGTGGCTGCAGATCCACTGGCTTTCTTTGTGATCAGTCATCTTCTAATCAGAAATCAAAATGAAGCTTCAAGACCAGGAGTTGAATTTGTGGTGAAGGAGAAAGAATGTAGTGTTGCTTTTCCAAGCTTGATGCACAGACAAAGTTAAAAATGAACTGCCCCTTCTTGAAATCCAGGAAGGGGGTACAACACGTAATAAATGGTGCAGATGTTCAGAATATGATCATGCATGGTCTTTTGATGACATACTCCAGTGCACTGTGAGGCATCTTACTAGAACACGGAAAGATACCACATGTGAATCTGTTTTAAAGCACCGTGTAGGAGTATATCCTTTCTTACTTCTCTCCAGAGCAGTGGATTAACTAGCTATGGAGATGGAAAACTGTAAATGGACATTTAAGAAAAAGGCCCAAGTTGTGCACTTTTTGGTGATATTGTGCTTTAACTGGTATTAAGTGGGCATCTGCCAGTTCATTTTGTGCCTCTTGCAGAGTTGCAGTCTTGATGTTCTATGCCCTTTGGTAACTGCCTGCTCCTAAACTATCTCTCCTTGCCAGCACACACTGTAACCATCAGGATGTAGCCCAACATCTGGATATTTATGATTCCCCGCTGGTTAAAGAGCCCATGACCACATCTAAACATCATGAATGCTGCAGAATTGTTTTCTCTGGAATCACCTCTGTATGTTTGGCAAGGCTGTGACTGATTAGTCAGAGCAAGACCTTTTAAAAGGATGTTAACTCAATCATCTTCTTGAACAGCGTCTGAAGAACTGTTAAAAGAACATTTTCACCCATCTTTTTTTACAATATTGGCCTACATATAAAGCAGCCCTCAGTTTGCAGAGAATGGCAGTCAATGCAGCATAGTAAATTAATTAAAGCCCATAGAGTCTGCTTTCTCCATAACTCTCCCTACAGTTGCCTAATCCACTTGCTAGGTGCTCTGAAGGAATTGGGGCAGGTAGGGGGAGTTGTACTCAGATCAGTGGTGCCTGAGTACACTTCCCCTCAAGCCAGGAATGCAGCCTGGGACTCCCAGCACAGGCCTTCCCTTTGCTCATCAGCAAATTGTCTGAGGCAGCCACTGACAAGGTTTGTCCCATTCCCATCTAGTTCTGGGACCCTGGGTGCAAAACCCATTACTCCTTTCTACCGCTGTGTTTGCTGGCGTGGTAGGGAACAGTTCCTCTCTCCTTGGAACCCTTGTGATAACAAAGCATGAAGTTGTTTTACTCTGTTTATTTGCCTTAAAAAAAAAATCAAACCAAAGTGTATCAGTGTATGTTTAGGGCTTCTGCCTTCAGAGGATAGAGCGTGCTGATGGACGAGTTGCCAAGTGGCTGATTTCGGCCCCTGGAGCATACATGCAGCATAATGGTCCTTGCAGGATTCCTGTAGCACTTGGGGTGCAGGATGTGGCTGTTCAGTATTTTGTTCTGTCCTCGCTCTTCAGAGTGTGTTAGGTACGTCGTACCGTGCGGAACACTGTGGTACGAATGGTGCCTCGGGGTTCCCAGTGATACTCGTCACTACCATAGTCTGTGCTTCACAAGTGGTAGTCGATGGGCTGTTGTTATCTCTGGTTCACAGGTAGGGAGCTAGGGTGCAGAGAGATTGAGATAGACGTGACCGTGGTTTTGGATACTGGTTTTATGTGCCACGGATGTGATTTTCAGAAAAGTTAGCATTCTTTAAGAATGATACAATGCAAAAGATAATTTTAATGGTGTTGAAACTGTAATTGCTTAACATTTCTGATCTTTAGTATCCAGATGCCAAGCCAGGCGTGAGGAAGAGTAGGAACATGCATTCACGACTGCTTGTGGAAACTTGATTTAAAAGGTCTACCCTGTGTCACATAGAGACTTAATGCCAGAGGAAGAAATACAGTCCATTTTTCTAGAATGGTATTTATCTCCTTAACCACTAAATCATGTTATTCCCTCTTACTTTGCTACTAGTTTTCCAGTTTGTACAGAAAATAGTGTGGGGATCTTGTGAATAGCATTAGCAGGAGAGTGAGTGGAAGCCTGGCACCTTTACCTCACCCTGATGAATATCCAGAGCACCAGTCATCTGTGTGACTGAATGGAGGCAGAAATCCTGCAGCAGAAGCTGTGCAGATCATACGTGCTGTTGCTGTATTTGGCTGTATTCACAAGGTTTATTTCACGGGCAACCTGACTTTTGGGCATGTGATGTATTAATAATACATCCTATAAAAAGTACCCTTCTAGTGCACCCATTTGAGAGTTATTTTTAACAAATGCATAGCAAGAACATGCTCTGACAGAAAGTCTGAAAACTCTTGCTCTGCTTGGAAAGTCTTAAATAAGTTTCTTCCTGAAGAAAATAAATCCCGTGTTTATTGTAGCAGTTTTATTTCTTAATGAAATACGCTCAGGAACTTTTCTGTGTGACATTCAAGTCTGTCTTTATGCTTCAGTAGGGTAATTAATGTTTTCAGAAAACAGGATATGGGTAGTTAAACTGGAGAAAGGAAACCATTTTATTCAGTGGTGTGGAGTTTCACAGAACAAATCATGGTAACTCACAAAGAATTCGTGCTTTCCCATCTGAGCAAGAATACCATAAAGGATGGGCGACTGCATTACTGCTCTTAGTGGTAAATACAACTACAGCTATATACAGCTATTTAATGTCAAGTAGGTGAGACTCTTTGAAGTAAAGTAATTTATTTTCCTTCTGAGAAGGGAGACTAAAAACTAAACTAAGCCTGTGTAAATTCCTTACACGTCATCTAAGCTCCTAACCAACTGCAACTATCTAGTGGGGACACAGCAATCCAGAAGTGCCAAGCTAATGCCTCTGCAGATTGAGAAGCCATTTATCACCGTGATCGATGGAGTGCAGCAGCACAAGAGAGGCTTATTTGCAGAGCATAACACGGGCCTCACTTGAAGAGTGGGTCAGTTCTTCCCTCAGCTCAAATAAGGAATTAAATTCTTGTCGGCTGCAGCTCTGCTGTCTGGGCACTGTATCGCATGGGACCCGCATCACCACCAGAGGAGCTTCTCAGAGGCCACCAAACAGCGATTACTGACAGCAGCGCTCACTCTGTAGCAGATGGCATCTGCACAATCGGCGATGCAATACTTTCTGTATCCAAATGTCTGCGGGTGGGCTCTGTGCGAGCTGTACGGGCAGCAAATGGGAGGGGAAATTGTTGTACGGATAAACATACCCTCCCTGAGAGGGCTCGGCTGACCCGAGTTGCAGAAGGACAGAAGGCTGGGCAGTGTAGCTGTTGGCAGGGGGAGCAGCCAGAAGACAACCGCAGCCATTGCCCTCGCAACCTTGCTGTTGCTGTTACCGTTGGAGGCACATGCAGCCTGCAGTTGTATCTTCTTTTCTATATATACGTGCCCAGAAATGGTATATGAAATAGTGCAACAGCTCCAGCTCCCAATTTAAAAATTAAGTCGCAGCTGAACTGTTAGAAAAGTACCTACACTGATGAGGAAGAGGAGGACTCAAAAAAAATCATTGAGAAGTAATTTGACTTGGATGTGGCCTTGGGTATTGGAAGAGTTTCATCGTGTGGCTTCTCCATTTAGCTACCGAATAGTATGTCAGTCTACTAAAGATCCAATTGGGGTGGACTTCTGCATGAAGAAGAGAATAGAGAGGTAACCATCTTACTCCTTGGTGTAGTTTGCACCCCACATCACAGGACGGGTTAAGCTGAGCAGACCTTTGATTGTGACAGTCTGCATCCCACATTAAACACTGCCAGTGATACATGTCTGTGTGCAGCCTCTGATCTCAGCACACATTTCTGTTGTGTTACCACCAGGATGGTAATTCCTTTGCTGCTTTTGGGGAAGAGGATTGTGAGATCTGCCTCCTAATAATGCCACAGACCTTCCCCACTTCAAAGCAAAAATGTGCTTTTCTTCAGAAGGGACTGTGGAAGTCCATTAGGGCAGAAGAAACTGAGTTTGAAGAACAGAGTTTGTCAAATATCCGCAACTCCTTGGCAGCAGGAGAAGATTCTTGTGCAAGACAGATGATATCTACTGAAATATGTTCTTACTTTTTCTTGCCAAGAAATCTTACCCCCTTCTCATTCTGATGACAGGAAAAAAACTCCCTCTGCTGAATGCATTTCAGGGGAGTCATTCCTTGCTGTGCTTTTGAAATTAATGGCTAAGCTGGATTCTTACATACTTAATCAGTTTCTTTCCTTCATACCTGCTGTTGTCACCACAGCCTTCAAGTGTAGTGAATCGGGCAGCCTTGTGCTGGATGAGCATCACGTTGTTTGTCTAACTGCAGCTCCATGGCTTTTCTTTATCTTATTTTTTTCTTTGTTTTTTTAAGCAGGTGAACAAAAGTCTGCCTCCTCCAGCCTGTTGTGCGCCGACACTACAGTCAGTGCAGCTGTGGCTTGGTTATGGTTCTGCTGCTCAGACATCCATTGTTTTCATCTGGCTGAGATGATAAACTGCCATAGTTTTACATTTCTTCTTGGATAATATTTTCACGTGATACATATGATAACAAGAAACCCTCATTATCTTGCCAAGTTCTTGGAATATGCTCTGCTTTCTGTTGAACTCGGAGTCTCTGACAGTCATTAGTAGAAATGTTAAGGTTTTATGTCTTACAAGCTTTCAAATCTAAGAGTAGCAAAGTAAAGAGGGATTAATTTGCCCTTTGTTTATATGGCTCTCAAGCTGCTGCCTTGTTCTGGAGAATTTTGGCTTTGCTATGAGAACACAAAAGACTTCTCCATTTTTAGGACTGAAAACTAACTTTCAGTATGTGACAAATGCAGTTAATGCAGTGATTGCTCTCTCAAAATAAAAAGGAACGTGAGAAAAGATGTGCTCACTTAACCTCAGCTCAGCCAAGAGTTACTTTACCGAGGACTAGGCCGTATGTAAAAGTTGTAGCCGTTTTGCTCAAAGAGTGCGTGGCTGGAGGTGCGCTTCAGACTCTCCATCACAGTCAAGTTGGGGCAAGCTGCGTTTTACTCCTCACCAGCCAGGCTGTGCCTGTGCAAGCTCCTGAGCACAGACACAGTGCCGGGCTGACAAAACTGAGCTTGTACTGGTATTGCTTGTTTCGGTCATTGGCGCTGCTTTCGGAGTAACCAGTATCAAGAGCAGCCTTACTGGTATGATTGTTTCTGAAGAAGCAGCGGCACTGTGCTGGTGCTGTAGTATCTATTAGTAAAACATCTCATTTAAGCACAGACTAGGGAACTGGGCTGAATCCAGCAGGTTGCCTAAGCTCCAGGGAGAGAAGGCCAGCCCTAGGGACACTCATCCAAACCCTAGTTGTGATTCTCGTCTGCCTGCTCAGGCTCTTGGGGCCTGGAACACGCCATCATACGCCAGGCTTTAGTTGGATGATTACAGATGAATTCCAAGTGCGCTTCCTATTAAAACAATTACTGTATTTTAAGCTCTTCTTGTATAGTGTGTGAAATTTCTAATTATTAAAGCTCTGCACTGGGGACTAATGGACTGCTGCCTATTGTTAAGCTTTTTTGAAGAAGTCAGTATACTTGGGAGCAACACTGTTGAACTTCGTTGTCTGGGGTTATCTCGTAAATTCTATTACAAGGTCATTTCCAACCTGCAGTTCTTCTTTGTTTTATTGGAGCGTTTTTTTCCCCTTTAACCTGTTGGTGCTTACTTGGGCTTCAGTTTTCAGCAGCGCAGCAGAATCCTCCTTCCAACTCATTTTTTGTTTTCATTCGTTGTCTTCTACAGCTACCCGAACTCCCAATGAAGAGCTCTGTAGCTAGGTTAGTAAGTACGTAGAGTCATGGGAAGCGAGTGTGGACTATTCCCAGCTGCACAATTGATCATGCTTAGGAAGAGTTCTTCCCCACCTCTGTGTTGAGTTACATGGTCACGGGAATGATTCACAGCAGTAGAAGCTGTGTAAGCCAGTGCAGCCCACTCATGAAATTTCTAGGACAGTGCATCAAAGCAAAAGGATTTGGTGGGGGTGGGAAGGAGCGGAGACCTGTCTTTTTTCCTTAATACTGTACTGTCCAGAGTCAGAGCCTTTCCTAGTGAGTACTCAGCAGCCCAAATGCCTCACCTGATCACATAAAGTGAATTAGATTGCAACACCTCTGCCCTGCCCGTCAGTGTGGAAGGCAGGCCAGTGGAAACGACGGTGCTCCTGAATTGCCATGAGCAAAAAGATTAAAAGTTACAGCGCACACTTCTGTATCTTGACTTACCCGAACGTTCAGGCATCCGAGGATTGCTCTAAACTACACACTTGATGCCCTGTGACTGCAGAAATCGTGGTGGCAGAGCCTAGATGCTTCTCGGGTCTTTTGTAGACTTGATTAGGGAGAAGGTGTTGGTTGTGGTGACTGGTGGGGTCATTTGGGATTTAGTGAGCTGGAGTATAACGGGAGAGATGATGCTGGTATTTGCCTGATACCAGTGGAAAAACACCAGTCTTTTGGACAAACCGATTTTAAAGAAGTCTGTAATATTTGAGGTGATTCATGGCTGATTTTACTGTCTGTTTTGCAAGAAACTTCGCATCTTGGTTCTTAATGACAGGTGCGAGAGTTTCAGTGTGAATAGGAAGTTTGGAAGCAAAAGTAACTTGCAGAGATGTAACGAGTCAGCAGAGATCTTGTCAGCGTCTTTCATCAGAGTGGAGTATAGTCTTCTGTAAGTCTCTGCACTCTTCCGTTGGAGAAATATTTCTCTGGTTAATAAAGGCCTTTTCATTTGCAACAGAACATCCTGAAGGAACATGCTGATGATGACCAAAATCTTGCCATTTCGGGTGTCCCTGTGGTCAGCTGGCCCAAGAAGACCGCAAAGGTAATGAGACACAATTACTTACTGATCATTATTGTGCTAGATCTTGGTGTTTATTTATCTATAATCTGACAAAGGGCTTCGATACTTCAGCAGCTGCTAGCATTTTGAACAAGAAACGTTATTTTTAACGGGTTTATGATTAGGTGTTGAAGCAGAACATAAAAGTGCCTCAGCAGGCAGGAATTGTTAAGAGTTTCCGTTTAAAAAGAATTTGTTTGGGGCTTATCAGTATAAAACTTTGATATGTCTTGGTCATTTACTATGGTTAAACCTAAAAATGTTGATGCAACATTTTGTGTAAAATTAAATTATATGTAAACTGGTCACTTGGCGAGCACTTTCCTCTGGATCTTTCTCTTACGCTATGAGACCTCCTGAATTCTCCATACAAGTGTGCGACTGTAACTTTGGAGGGTTGTTGTCTGTCCCTTTATCTTCATTTTTCCTGCTAAATATGGGAGTGATTCTCTTCACTTTGCAGGAGAACCACAAGGCTTGCTTTATTAATGCTTATGAAGAGTTTGAAATAATTAACTAAAGAACAATGTCAAAAGGCTGGATGTTATTTATAACAGTGGTGTGTTTACCACACTCCAGCTATTCAGCATGCTGCAAAAGCTTATTTAGAAGATGCCTCATTGCTTCTATTTTTACGTTCATTTTTCACTGAGTTAGTTTTATAATACATAATTTCTTTAGAAATGCTGAAAGGGTCGGTCAGCTTAAATCAGCCTTCTATCTGAAAATCTGTTGTGTTGTTGTTGTTATCATTGTAAATAACTTTCAAATAATTGAGTGAATTATTTTCCCTGTTCTCGCTTTTTTGTGCTGATGTACTTGTCATGGCTTTGTGTACAATCACTTGTACCCACAAGAATTTGCTGTTTTCGAATGGGAGGTAGGAGACCATAAACATCAAACTGCCAGAGGGGAGTGGGGCAGAGTGAGCATATCATGTTCCGTCTTGGTTTTTTTGGGGGATTTTAGCTGAGCACATTTCAGATAAGTTATATCTTGTTAAGAACATATTTCCCTTTTAGCTGGTAATAAATCCATGGGAATATGCTTTGTGTTTAAAACATTCGTTTGTTTAAAAACAACAGTGGAAAACCTTGAGAGGAATAGGTGTTGGATTCTCCACTGCTTTGACAGCTGCTGTTCATTCATCAGTCAAGTATACTCTAGGCACTGAGTAATGCGAAATCTCTGACCACAGGAAAGCTGGTGTGTGAAACGTAGAAAACAAAAGTAAGAAACAACTGACTCTTGTGCTGTATCTTTTGAGCTTGTGGTAGAAGTGAGGTTCTTAGTGTTTTGAGGCTTTTTATAAGCTTTCACATTTGCTATGTTCCTATTTGCTTTATTTTGGAATCTTTGATAAATGGTTCATTTCTTATATTTCATTTCTGTTCATTGGCAACATAATTGTAACTGTAAAAGGTATGGGGTTTTTTGTGGCAAAGCTTACCTGTCTTTGTGAAATCCATCTTGCTGGCTGCAAGGTTGTTTTTTTTTTTTTTAACTTTCTGGCGTTCATTTTCCTTTAGCCTTTCTGAAAGCAAAAACTTTTAGAAGGCATCATTCCCAGTGCTAAGGTACAATAACAAACATTTAAACACATTGGCTAATAACAAATATGAGGAACACTTTCACAGAAAGTCAGGCTTTAGATTGAAGTTTGGAAATGAAAACTTGTAACAGAAGAAATCCTTTCAGTGTTCTCTTCATATTTGCTTTGCTTGACCCGTGATCACTTTGGGTTTTGTCTTATGTTTTAGTTAAAAGGTACACATGCAGATATGCCTGCGTGTTTCCCAAAAGCAGGTTGTTGTTGCGCTTCTAATTGGCAAATGTCCATGTCGTCTTACATCTTACAGCTATTTCCCTTGTCTGGGAACAAAGGCCAAGTGAACAGGCTAGGAAGACACGTCTTAAAGTTGAGCCTTTGAGTCCCAAATTAAAATATGTTGGAAAGAAAATACAGGGGAGATTTGTATAAAGGCAATGTCAGTAGTTAAGCTTGGTTATTTCTCCTTTGTTTCCTCTAAGCCCTGATAATAAAATAGAAGATTTTACAGAGAAGAAAACCCTTGGGGAGGGGGAGACTCCCTTTAAAGTTGGTTTGTAGCTGGTGGAGCAGGTCTCCATGGCCAGAAGATTCCACAAATGTTGAGCACAAGGCAGGAGAGTAAAACCTACCAGTAATTTTGCTTTCTGTAAAATTGCTCTTATAGTATATAGGAGAAATGCCAAATACTTAACAGTGCTTTTCCTGAGCTACTAGTATTTAAAGGGAGTGGCAGATATGATACGTTATGGTACCAGCTATTGTGGGGCTGGGAAGAAGACATTGTAGCTGCTATATCAACTTCCAGGGAGAGGAGGATTGTCTAATTTCCATAAAGAAAAAGAAGGGAACTCAAATCCAGAAAGAGGAGGCCATAAGTGGAAAACGTGGCTCTTGCTTTCTCCCAAGAGAAGGCTCCAGAAGATATTTAGAAAGACAAGAGCAGCAGATGGAGAAGGAAGAATAAAGCCAGCATTAAATGCCAAAACATTTCAAAGAAAATGGAAATGACTGTAAAGAAAGGAGGGGAAGAGACTAGAAATGGCGCGAGAGCAGGATGAGGAGAGAGGCAAGTACTGAAAAAGGATGGAGTGGGAAAAGCATAGAGCAGCAGGAGAGAACTCTTACTGAAGTAAAAGATCTCTGGAGTAGGAACAGGGAATGGCTTAAAATATGTCAATAACCCAAGATGTGGAGGGGCAGGCTTAGTTATGTTCACTTGCTTTTGAAAGAATATGCCTTTAATAATCTGAATGATTTTCAATGCAGTAAATAATATTTCCCTTTAAAACTGAGTCACAGTTCCCTTTATGTGTTGTCAGTGTGACGTGCCAACAGTGTGCACAGCTCTGTACTGCGAAACAGTTGCTTGTAGACTCTGAAATTCTGGGGTTTAGGGAAGAAACAGGTTCACTCACCTTAACTCACAGTTCACAGTGAATAAGGTGCAATGGGCAAGACATTTAACTCGGCACGTGGAAGACCCACCCATACGTTGTGGCCCTGTTGTGCTGCATCGCTCCATCTACCTTTTCTAAAGGCATTTGGGGCTGTCAGTTATGCTGCAGTTTGCTGTCAAAAAGAATTACTCACTGAGAAAAGAAACAGAAGTAATGATCAGAAATGTTTTTGTGAGGAGATAAAATAAATGGGTGACATTTGATGATGTGTGGTTAGTGTACAAAATGGGAGGCAAGGGTCTGCGTTCTGTTCCAGCTCTGCTGCAGCCTCCTTGTGTTGCATGAGGTGAATGGCACATTTCTGCTCCCTGAGCTTTTCTGTATGGAGATAGTGCTTCCTGTCCTGGGAGGTTGTGAGGTGAAATTAATGTTTATAAAGATCTCTAACATCTTCAGCAGAAAGTTTCATAGTAAAATGCATGAACCATTATTATTTTATGGTGATAGAGAAATGGTGTGTGATGCATAGGCACCTCTTCCAGATCATATTTACTGCTTTTCATGAAGCTTTTTTGAGTCTTTTGAACTTTTCCTAATTTATTGATAATTACTTAGGACAATAATTACATTCCAGTAGGCACCTTCTTGCCTTTTTTTTTTTTTTTTTTTTTTTTTGCAAATGCTCTTTCAGAAGAAGCAAGAACCTGCCTTTTTCTTTTAGCTGTAGAGTAAGAGAAAACAGTCCAGTTTCAAAAGAAGTCTCTGTCTGATAACGATTCATTTACCAAACTGTTTGGCATTGCCAGAGATCCCAGGATGTGTAGAATGATCCTAATTTAGGCCTCTTCAAGGAAACAGAACTGTGGGACTGAGTGGATATTTAAAACCTCCTTGTCCTGATGGCTGACTGACAGTTCACCTACCTTCAGACTGGACAGCACATTTTTCCCAGCTTGCTTCCGAGCACGGATGCAGCTGTGGATATGTGAGCCCCATCCCGTTCCTTTGCTGGGGGGTTGTGCAACAATAAGTTGTCCTCGCTCGGTGGGGTGCTGAATGTATTCTGTGAGGTTTTTTGCAGTGATAGTCTGTTGTCCAAAAGGAAGAGCTCCATAGGGTATGCTGCCTGGAAATTTTGGGTTCTTAAGTGGCTAAAGAGGAGTGAGAAATAAACCTAACAAACTAACTCCTCCCCCGTCCCTGGGACATGAACTTCTGGGTGGTGTGAAAAGACGGCAGGGCCTAAACCTGATTTTCCACTGTGGCGACACATTGCTAATCACTGATGCAGAAAGCTGACTACTGTCAAGCCAAATCTTGAAGCCCACTCTCAAGATTTGCTCAGCCCTACAATACCAGAGTTCCCCTTTTATCTGCACAGGGATTAGAGGTAGCACTTTATTTAAGGAACTCAGAGTATGGCCCAAGCAGAAACCATGCATTTTTCAAACCATTTCCTATTTCTGGAAGACAACAGTCAACTATAGTAGCATGTAATTACACTCTGTGGCAGTGCCTTCTGTTTTTATAGTGATAAAGATCTTTAGTTGTCTATGAAGAGCAGCTATAGAGAACTAAAATATGTTTGGACTCTCTTGTTCTGTGAAGAGTTAGAAATGCAGACTGTGAGCCAGATTCTCATCTCTCTTACCTGGCACAAACCTAAAGCCACTGCATTTGTAATGATAGCAAGTGTCCAAATATATGTAGGTCTGGCTGTGAGCAGGAGATGAAGTTGTAACTTTGAGTAGCTGGTTAACGATGCTGCAATATGGGCTGGTTTTCTGATGCCCTTTCATAAGCTTTTTTTCCATGTAATTTTAACCTGTCAATTTTAAGAGAAGATACTTGAGAAGTATAATAAGGAAACAGTAATGTTCTTATTTAGAGGAGTACTATTAATTAGTAAAGGCCACAAACTGAAATTTCAATTGGATTATGTTTTTTTCTAGCAAAAACCAACCTTCCCTGCAATTGGCAGTGCAAATAATCTTCATAGCTATGTATCAGTGCATGAGAACCAGGAAGAAAAA